TTATAAACAACCTCACATTAAAAAAAAAAATAACAACAACAATAAACAAGTACCAAATTCCCAACAATGTCATAAAAAGAACTAAAGACATTTAGGGATTTGCAGAGAAAGATGCTCTATCTTAGTGCATAGTTTACTGATGTTTTCTGCTTTCCTGTCTGAAAATTGAAGTGTTCATCAATTAATTTACTGAAGCTGATTGTGTATCCTGACAGTTAAAACTTGTCCTTCTGCAAGGGAGAGAGTGAAAAATGGCTGTTTACACCATGCTGTCATATTTCAGGTTTTTTCTATTTCCTGTCTAGAACCATTGTGTTTGTCTTGCAGTGCCAGAGGTAGAAGGAGAGGCAGAGAGCATCAGCTCCCTGTGTTCACAGATCACCAGTGCCTTTAGCACACCCTCCGAGGACCCCTTTTCCTCTGCCCCAATGACCAAACCAGTTACATTGGTGGCACCACAGTCTCCTGTATTACAAGGTTGGTGACCTCTGACCTCAGTTGTTCTCTTTGAAACTAACCCTGTTGGCATGCTGCTTGTGAACTAGAAGTTGGCATCTGAGCTTGCCATTATCCTCATCTCCCTGCCCAGCCACCTCTTCGGGCTTTGTTCCTCTCCTAAGTTGCCCGCTTTCATCATTTGGCACATGTACGTCTGTCTTTCATCTTCTAGTAAGAGTTTCAGTAACCCCAGTCCACCACTTTGTTTGCCTTTTGACTTCAACGGTCAGAGCAGCCAGCCAGCTTTACAAAATCTGTTATCAGGATTGGTTCAGGCTCTGTGCCTTCTAGCATAGTGATTCCCCACCAGGGATAATTTTGCCTCCTCAGGGAAAATTTGACATTCATTGTATGGAGACATTTTGGGATTACAGCATCAGAATTACAGCATCAGAAATGCTGGCAAACACCCTTCAATGTACAGGGCAGCTCCTACAGCAAAGAATTACCCATTCCAAAATGTGAGTGGTGTTAAAGTTAAGGACACCTGGACTTCCTCCTGTCTGAGAGACTCAAAGTAGAAGCCTTTTTCTGCCTCACTGGTTCATTTTATGGTCTATAACAAATACTGTAAAATTGGCCTTTGTGACAATAGTTACTTCAGTGTTAGAGGGCCCCACCCCCTGCTAAATTAAGTCCTCACTCATAGATCAACAAATAATTTATGTAATTTAAATCAGTGACTTCTAAAGTAAAGCTCCAATGACCTGCCCATTGCCATTTCCTTTGAGATTGCAGAGATAGGACTGCCCTGCGGTCAGTGCCATTACCTCTGGAAGATGCTTCCAGACACCTTTGTTTTGGGCCTAGGTTTTCATCTCTGCTTCTTTTGAAGCAAATGCCTATAATCATATGTGATTTATATCATAGCTTTTCTTTCTATCTGACAGACATTTGTAGTATTAGAAAAAATAAGCTTGATCTATTGAGCACTTAACAGTGCCTGCCACCATGAAAATCCTCACACATTATCTTAAAGTCTCAAATAGCTCCTTGAGGTTGGCATTACATATAAGAAAAATGGCTGGGTGCCAATAGCACACTCCTTTAATGCCAGCACTCAGGAGGCAGACGCAGGTGGATCTCTCTGAGTTCCAGGCGAAGCTGGTCTACAAAGCGAGTTCCAGGACATCCACGCTACATAAAGAAACCCTTTCTCATAAAGGAAGGAAGGAAGGAAGGAAGGAAGGAAGGAAGGAAGGAAGGAAGGAAGGAAGGAAGGAAGGATTGAGGCCCGAGATAGCTGAATTGCCCACACTGTACATCTGGGATTTAAACTCAGATCTTCCTGAACCAATTACATCCCACTGACCCTGTCTGTTTACAGGGCTTTGGGTGGAAAACATGAACAGAGCAGAGTCTTTTGTCTTTAAAGGGCTTCTAGTCTATGGCTAAGGTGGTTTTGTTTTTGTTCAGTCCCAGGTAAACAATACTGTCACCCGAAGTATGGCTGTCCACTCCTAAAGAAGCAGTTTGTCATAGAGCAGGGGAAGGCACTTGTCTGCTCCATGCTACTAATATGATGGAGAACTGGAACAGAGACTAGAAACTGATAAAGGAGTAAAAGGAAATGATCAGCACTTTAGAATACTATAAATATTACATGGGGGAAAGACTTAAAGATATAAAGTCGATTTTTTTCAGTAAATGACAAATGTGTTAAAGTAAAACATACCATTTGATTTCTCACCTGTTGTATAGACATACTATAGTTGACCCCCTAATTCATGGTCTCTCTCTCTGACGTTTCAATTGCCTGTGGTTAACTACTATCTCAAAATATTAAATAGGAAATTCCAGAGATAAAGAATTAATAAGTTTTAAGTAAATTTATTATAATATATTCTTACAATAATTGTGATTAAAACCTCAGTGTGGCTAGCTTATAAATTAAATTTTATCCTAGTATGAAGGTGTAGGTAAATACACAGTACAGTTTTAGGTATCTGTAGAACATCTGGGAACTTATTTCCCAATCCCAGAGTTATGGGGGATTTTGAGAGAATTAAATTTGATGTGTATAAAATATTGTTAGCTTGGTGCCCAGAACATACTAAGAAATTATACTTAACCGGCTATTGTTGGCTTGTTTTGATCTTTTGGAAAAGTGTAGAAGAACAAAATCTGCTTTATTTACTTAATCCAAAGCCTAGTTATATGAATAGTCATGTTCAACTTAATTTGAAGTTGTATGAGTTAGGCTTCATTTCCTGTCTCATACACACATTTTTGTAGAACAGTCATTGATAGTCTCCTCTTTGTCAAAAGTATGTGTATCCACTGTAGGACAGCATGATTATCCCATTACCAGCTGCTTTGCCTTGTCTGTCCCACCAGTACTGTACATTGGCCTGACTGACCCATCTCCATGGGGTTAGCTTGGATACCCTGCATGAATTAACTCCATCAATGTTGTCTGCTCCCATTATAGCTAATGGCACTGACTCAGCCTTCTATGTGCTTGCTGCTAAGCCAGCCAATACCGCTCTAGCACCTGTAGCAATGCCTGTGCGTGAAACCAACCCTTGGGCCCATGCCCCTGATGCTGCTAACCAGGAAATTGCAGCCATACGTCCGGGTAAGGTAGCCACAGATGTTGAAGTGGAATTCTGGGAGCAGGTTCTAAAATCAGCCAGTTACCTGGTGAAGACTATAAAGAATATATTCCTTCCCAGCCAGAAGTGGCTGTGAAAAAGGCTCTAAACCTGGGAACAGAAAGATTAGATGGGAGCTTCTCAGGACTGTAGAACCTGGCTACCATAGGATTTTAGTAAGCCGTTTCCTGTGCCACCTCCAGAGAGCCTTGTCACTGGCTTTAGCAGCACACTCGGCTGCCTATAAATAGTCACTGCATGGTACACCTACCAGAAGTGCCAAAAAGAGCACTTTTTTTTTTTTTTACTAGCTTTTCTGGGGTGTTTTGAGGCAGGGTCTCACCTATTTAACTCGGGCTGGAACTCATGCTGTAGACCAGGCTGGCCTCAAACACAGAGATGCCCGCCTCTGCGTGCTGAGATTAAAGGTGTCTACCACCAGTCCCGGCTTTATGTGTTTTTTTTCTTTTTATTATTCATGTTTTTAGGGTTTTGAGACAGTCTTGCTTAAACTCTTGGTCTACTGCTTCAAATTCCTTTTTCTGGGAATGCAGGCATGCACCATTGTGCCCAGCCCTTTGACCCACCAAAGTATAAGCCAGTTTCTCTACTGTGGCAACATGACACATTTTTAACACCGGTCAGCTGCCTTGGTTCAGGGCATTTGAGCCGTAGCTGAATAGTATCAACATGCTTTAAGATAACAGCATATTCTGACAGGTTCGGCTTGTCCTACCAAAACAGAACTTCTTGGCTAGTGACACTTCAATCCCTCTACCAGAACCATAAGTGTCCCATCATGGAGCACGTTCCATGTCTTAGGATCATTCACATAACCAAGGTTATCAAGTGAGAACGACCTCTAATCCTTCCTTCCTGTCTCTATCTTGTTGGTTCTAGGGACTGAGTGGGGTCAGTCCTCGGGTGCTGCCTCTCCAGGTCTCTTCCAGGCTGGTCACAGACGTACTCCCTCTGAGGCTGACCGCTGGTTAGAAGAAGTATCAAAGAGCGTCCGAGCCCAGCAGCCACAGGCCTCCGCTGCCCCTCTGCAGCCAGCCCTTCAGCCTCCTCCACCTGCTGCCATTGCCCCACCACCAGCACCACCTTTCCAAGGAAATGCATTCCTCGCCTCTCAGCCTGTACCAGTGGGTGTGGTCCCACCCCTGCAGCCAGCCTTTGTCCCTGCCCAGTCCTACCCTGTGGCCAATGGGATGCCCTATCCAGCCTCTAATGTACCTGTAGTGGGCATTACCCCATCCCAGATGGTAGCCAACGTGTTTGGCACTGCAGGCCATCCTCAGGCCACTCATCCCCATCAGTCACCAAGCCTGGCCAACCAGCAGACATTCCCTCAGTATGAGACAACTAGTGCTACCATCAGTCCCTTCTTTAAGCCTCCTGCTCAGCACCTCAATGGTTCTGCAGCTTTCAATGGTGTAGATGATGGCAGGCTGGCCTCAGGAAGCAGGCATGCAGAGGTCCCTGCAGGCACCTGCCCAGTGGATCCTTTCGAAGCTCAATGGGCTGCATTAGAAAGCAAGTCCAAGCAGCGCACTAACCCCTCCCCTACCAACCCTTTCTCCAGCGACTTACAGAAGACGTTTGAAATAGAACTTTAGACAATCTCTGTGACATGTCTTTTCTGTACTTAGGCAAGGACAGGGGGCAGAGGAGCAAAGCGGACTTGGCTTTCCTGATCAGTACACTTTTCACTAATCCCAAAGGTCCCAAGTTGCAAGTCCACGCACAGAGTACAGTGAGGGTGATGTCCACAGAGTGAGGAAAGCAGTCCTGGAGAGGACCGCCCTGCAGCTGTGCTAGGGAAGTCAAGGAAATGCTGCCTTTTGGCCCCTCTCCTACCTTACAAATCTCTGGCAACAGAGAGGCAGAAGTGTCTGAAGAGTAATCTGTATTCAAAGCACATTTACTGGAATATAAAACACAACAGTAAGCAAAACAATCTCCCTTCACTTTTCAGGCCAGGCGCCCATTCCTCCTAGTACTGCCTTGATGGAGAGCTTGATGGAGAACAGTGTGGCTTGTGCAGGCTAGGAAGTAAGGCAGGCCATGTTCCGGGTTCACAGGAGAGCTCAGCAGCAGCTGCCCAGCAGAGCTGTGTTCTGCCGATAAAGCTGAGCTTCCATTTTGAGTAACAGAATAAATATTATAAATATATATATATATATATATATATATCAAAAAAGCCAAAATCTTTATTTTTATGCACCTAGAATATTTTAAATAGTTCTCAATATTAAAAAGTTGTATGAGTTGTAAGTAATCTTGCCAAAAGTGAGCAGGTTAGTTGTAAGAAATTGTACATAAGATTGATTTATCATTGATGCCTATTGAAGTAAAGAGGGAGGGTTGGGAATTGTAGGCAGGAGCCCTGGCTTGTTTGTGATCATTCATTGTAACTAGCACATTGCAACAACAATCATACTGAAGACCAGTACAGTCACTAGGTTGTAGTTTTAAATAAAATGAAAGCAGTGTTGTCCTTGTTTTAAACCTATGGTGAAACTCTAATGTCATTATTTTAATGGAATCAATCTACACCATATAGAATGTGTATTTTATGTATCATTGCAATTTCCTTTTATGTTAATCCTTTATCATTAAGGTGACAATGACATAATCATATCCAGAAAAGGGAACACAGGCTATTGTGTTGGTTTATAGTGTGGGTCTTAATGGGTTTTGTCCTTGAAATTTTGTTCCCATAAGTTTTATAGGGATGAGGATTCTGGATTTATCTGCCCTGTGTGTCCGTTTTCCCTTCCTCCCCGCCATAAACAGAACATCCCATGCCAGTTGCAGCTACTTGACCTCGGGTAACAACGTGAGACCCCATCTCATTTCCACTTCTGAACGTTGGCCTTACAATCAAATGTAAGTTATATATACATATATATATTTGTACTGATGAAAATTTATAATCTGCTTTAACAAAAATAAATGTTCATGGTAGAAGCTTTTGCCCGTGAAGGGCTATTATTTGCAAATGAGTTTATAGTTTTGTGTTGTTTTATTTAATTCTCTACTGCCAACATGAGTGCATCTGTGATTCTATTTACTCACAAAGTTTAATCTGCAGCAACAGCATGGACTACACCTCGAAGCCGGGACTCAGCCCCAGAGGTGGCGTCACAATGCTGTATGTATAGAAACAGGTCTCACTATGTAGCCCTGGCTGGCTTCGAACTCACAGAGATCTGCTTACCTCTAAGTGCTAGGATTAAAGGAGTGCACCGCCACTGCCTGACAGCACTGCTTCTCAGCCTTAGCTGTATATTGGAATTCCCTGAGGTGTAGCCCAGTGTGCTCAGCATGCCTGAGATTCCCCAGTGCACACACATACACAAAACACCTATTCATCAGGCCAGTTAAATCAAATTCAGTGGGGAGTATATTAAGTTGTGCTTTACGTCTTCAGGAGTTTGTCTTTGGTGGTTTGTTTTGCTCTGTATAGCAGGCTAAGTAACCCTAAGTCTAGTTTACCCCTCACCTCTCAGCCCCCTACTTGTTCCTGCAAACAGCTGTCACCCAGATGTTTCTCAGCTCTCAAAGAGGCTCTGCTTCTTTCCTTTTTGAGCAAGATGGCCCAAGACACCACTTACACATGAAGCTTTGTTTTCTAGCTGATGTCACCTTTGGTCCCATGGTAACCTTTGATGTAGGCAGGGTTGTAGGATTGCTGCAGGAGTTAAAGTGGGGAAGCCTGGAAGCTCACTAAGTGCAGGCTTTTTCATTATTAAGAATTCAGAGGTTCTGAAAGATGAGGGATCCCTTCCTGCATCTCAGACTACTAAAACCACTTCCCCAACGGTGACATCACATCCCCCATCCTGCTAATTGGGTTTGGTGAGTTTGGGGTTGTTTACTTTGAGACAGGGTTTCACTCTATGGCCCAGGCTGGCTGACCATTCCCAGGTTTATGTGGTGTGTGTGTGTGTGTGTGTGTGTGTGTGTGTGTGGGGTGGTGGTGGTCAGAGGACAACTTGCCTGAGTCCATTCTGCCTTCCACTATGTGTGGGTTCTAGGGCACACACTCAGGTCATCATGCTTAACAGTGAGTGCTTCACCACCAGCTGCTGTTTTAGCATAGCTCTGACTTTTCTCTAGCAACAGATACTCTGATCTACAGATTCCCACTTAAGGAAGCATGGCTCCTCTCTGCTGCTCAGAGCAGGCCAGTGAGCTGTGTAAAGGAAGAAGCACATGAACCTTCCCAGCCTACTTTGTGGGACCACCCCAGGAGGGCTTTGAGACCTATCTCTGCAGTGTAGTTCTTTTTTTGTTTTTTTTTTTGTTTGTTTGTTTGTTTGTTTGGTTTGGTTTGGTTTTTTCGAGACAGGGTTTCTCTGTGTAGCTTAGGAGCCTATTCTGGCACTCGCTCTGGAGACCAGGCTGGCCTGGAACTCAGAGATCCGCCTGCCTCTGCCTCCCGAGTGCTGGGATTAAAGGCGTGTGCCACCACCGCCCGGATGCAGTATAGTTCTTTCCCAGTTGTTCCACACTCAGAGTACAGTGCTATCTGGCTTCTTCATCTCACATCCCTATCTAGAGGCCCCAATGCTTGTGCTCTGCCTTGCTGAAAACTTCCCAAACATCACTGTGAGCTCCATACAGTGATGGCATTGAAGCCAGCTGGGCCACTGCCTGGGGAGAGGAAGAAAAGGCCTGAATGTGAGCTCACCATCTGACCCGGTGGCTTTGGGTTCTAGCACAGAACACTTGTGACTGAGCAAGTGCCACTCCCCCCATGTCACAAACCTCCCCACCCAGCCTGCTCTTCGGTGTGCCGAGTGGATCCCCTCTACAGATTGAGCATCCCTCACTCAAAATCAAACATTCAGACATTTTTGAAGGCTGACATGGCATGTGGGTGTTCTAAGCTTCAGATCATTTCAGATGGTTAGATTAGGGATGCTCAATTAGTAAAGTCTGCAAATAGTTCAACGTTTAAAACACTTTGGTCCCAAGCATCTCAGATAAAGGATCCTCAAGGCAGCAGAGATTATAGAGAAGGTGTGAAGAAACAGTTCTGTATAGGCGATTCCTCTTGACTGCAGTCTGAGGTCACATTAGACAGACCCTGCTGAGCACTTCAGGGGGAGGCTAGCAGCTGCTGGGGCTTAACCCTGGATCTCCCAGAGGGCCAGTATCTGAAAAGTGACTCATTCTGCAAGCCATGTCTTACCATCCCTTCTCCCCAGAAAACTATCCGGAATGGGCATCACAGCTAGCCTTCACCCCTGCTGCCAGGCAGGCTGAGCATTTGGCTGGAAGCGGGAACAGCTGGCACAGCAGAAGCTGGAGTAATATTCATTGTCACAGAGCTGGGCCTTCAGGATCAAGGCACAGTTGGCCAGCTCCGGCTGGTCGATGCACTCCCTGCCCAGGTCCCTGGACTGAGCGGCTGGTGCTACGGAACAAGAGAAAGGGTTGAGGCAGCGCTCCTGCTGCAGCTTCTCACCTGGTCCACACATGCTTGATCGGCCAGAAGGGAGTATGGCTTCCACCCCTTGCTGGCCTTACTAGTGATTCTTATCTGTGGCCTCAGCCCAGTGCACAACCTGTCCCAAACTCCCACTTACTGACTGGACCATCAGATAGATAGCTCTTTCAAAGTAGCTCCCTGCCTTTACTGTCCAGAGCTGAAGAGCCACTTGACAGCCGTGTTGCCAGATTAGGAGGAAGAACAGGTAGGGCCAGGCGTAGGAAAGCAGTCATCCTCCCTGGTGCTGCTCCCTCTGTCCTCCAGGCTCCTCAGCTTGCCTGTCTCCTAGCCCCATCTTTCCTGGTTTCCACCTGAGAAATCAAATCTTCAAAAGCCCTGTTAACTATGGCTCTAAAGGTACACTGAGAGCATAGCCCCTGTGCCACCCTCCACCTTCCTAGGAGTTTCTTGTAACTCAGTGAAGATTCAGTCCACTGCCTCATCCTAGTTATCCCATCCTCTCTGCAAGCTCTACAGGGCTGAGTATCTTCATGTCCCTGTTCTTTTAGAAGACACCATGGAAAGACCAGACCAGCCAAGTGGCCTTAGAAAAAGGTTTGGCATGCTTACCAGCATAACCACAGCACTGGCTCCCTCCATGTGCATGGTAGAAAATCCATGTGTGCACAGTTTTCAAAATCTGAAACCTTGATTTCAACTATCAGCTGCTGCAGCCCCAACCTATCATGATAGGTACTCCGTACAAGTGGTTAAGACAATCCCTTCCCTACAGAGTTCCTTGGGCAAATTAATTTCTTGAGCTCCTGGAGCCTCTGCTCCCTTCTCTGTGAAACGAAGAGGAAATAGTGTCTGCCTTAAAGAGGTGTTTCTAAGGACTTTAAAACAGCTGGGCCTGGTAGCACGGGCCTGTAATCTCCACTAGGGACCCTGAGGCAGACCACGGCTTCAAGGCCAGCTGGGGCAACTCAGTGAGACCCTGTCTCACACTAAAGGCATAGGAGTATAGTTTAGTGGTAGAGTGTAGTGTGCTTGTCTGTAACATACAAAACCCACTCACAACGGCACCCAGGGCACGTAAAAGCCATGGCAGAAATTGGAGAGCTCACTGCTGTCTTGACCCCACAGCAGTGACCTTCCTCATGAGCAGGGACAGAATGGGTGCTTGACTCCCTTCCATTCTCATGGTATTCTCTGCTCTTTACTCAACCCTCAGGCAAAAACAATTAAGATTTTACCCCAGAGTGTGAGAAGCCCACCACCCCATGCTAACATAACTCTAGTGCCACCAAGCCATGACTTGGACAGCATGAGTTAGTCACTATGTAACTGTGGAAAAGCCAACTAGCAAAGGCTACTCAAGGGGACAACTGGAACTCTGGAGCGAAGCCTCCAAAATATGTAAAGGCTGCAACATCCAGCAGAGGACAAGAGGAGGCCTCACTGCAGCCCTGAGTGGGGTCTGGAAGTTGTGTGGTAGAAAAGCTCACTGCTCTCCATTGTTGGACAAGCTTCTGATTATCATCTGGTCTCCCTCACGGTAGACACACAAATATGAATGTCCAGATCCCCTTGGGTGGTTTGTCTTTGAGGTGGGTTTGTTTGGCTTTTGTTTTAACAGGGATGTTTCCCACACAGGACTCAAACTAGCAACCTGCCTCTGTTACCATTGCTCTCCTGACCATAGAAGTCTGCAGTCTTGCTCTTGTTCATTTGGTTAGTATATCGATGAGCTAGATTTTCTAGAAACATCAAAGGTGGAAGTCCTGCAATGAATGTGGCATTTTCACCAGGGTGCTATTCACACAGGCACACTGAGCCACCAACAATCCCTGGTTACAGAGCATTGGGCTGGGCCCTGGGGTCCTAGACACTTCTTAGGGAACTCAAAGTGAGCGTCAGTCCCAAAGCAAAGCAACATTTCAGCACACACCTTCAACCTCTGGCTAGTTCCCACACTCAGTCTCGAAGCCAGGAAGACAGCCAGTACTGACTAACATACTGACACTGCAAATCTTACTCGTCATGAATGTTCATGCAGACCACACAGTTAGTGCCCCATTACCTCCAAGCCAGGTGCCCTTCTCCAGGATCTGCCTCAGGTCTATGAGAACTGCCTGCTTGGCCAGAGTCTCTGCCCTGTTGTTCAGTCCCTCCCTGAAACTAAGATCTGTGGAGAGCAGAGTGAGCGGACTCTTCTGCCCTAGCCTTGTCACTTAAACACGGAGCTCCTGTAACTTAAAAACAGGCATGGTGGCACCTGGGAGACAATGGCCAGGAGATTTAAGTAGAAACTAGTCTTGGCTACATAGCAAATTCAAGGTCAGCCTGGGCTACAGAAGTAAATAAAACCAGGAGTCAAAAAAAAAAAAAAAAAAAAAAAAAAAAGGGCCTGGGTTTCCAGCTGTCCACCCATCCCTGAAGTTCTCTGGGTACCTATCATGAATAAAGGATAAGGGTGACCCTGCCTCACATGCCTGGATGATGAAAGAGGCACTTCTCCATCCTCAGCCATTTTTAATAAAAAGTTTTTTACTATACATGATTTGGAAAGGAGCTTGTACCAAACTTGGTCCTGTCCTTAAGAACTAGGTCTTTTATTTCTGTATGGGTGTATGTGTCATGGTGCTGGGGATAGAGCCTGGGCACTGAGCCTCAGCCCACAGGCCCTTCTGCCACACTGATTAGAATGCACAGATTTTAGGGGTCCATCCATCTTAAGCATTATTCCAGCCAATCATTTAAAAAAAAAAAAAAAAAAGAGTAAGATTGCTAAGTCCAAATGGCAGAGCTCTGAGGCATTTGCGGTGCCAGCCTGAACACTTCCCTACATCTTCACCTCGGCCTCAGGTAGTGGAGTAGCCCAGGAAAAGTGGAGCTCTGGGGTGATAGTAAATGCCCACACACACACACCCCTCCACCCCCCCCCATTACAATACCAGAAACTAGAAGGTGAGCATAGGTGAGAACAAGATCGATAAGCCTGTGACCTGCAGTGCTCAGCTGGCCTTCAGGACAGAAAAACCCAGGGACAAGCCTCTCACCTGGTAGGGCCACCTTCACCTCAGTGCTGCGGCTCACAGCCTGGCTCCCACGGTAGGCACTGCACGTGTAAGATCCCTCATCCCTGGGCCGTAAGTTGTGGATCAGCAGTGTGCCATCTGGGGACTGGTGCACACGGTGGCCATCTGCCTGTACTGGGAGTCCATTCCTGGAGGGGAGAGGACATTGGGAGAGCCATCCAAGACCTCTGGACACATTAGCCAAGGCTATTCCAGAACCAGCCTTCTCTCCCCAGGAGGGCAAGTAGATGCCACCTCAGGGAAGTGGGGACAGGTGCTCTAAATTAGTAGGAGGACATTACCAAAGCCCAGCGGCACATCTACGCACTGAGTTACCAATTTGCCTTGGATCCACAAAGAAACCCACTCCAGCTTGTCACTGACAATGCCAGGCCCTGTGCCAGGGGGAAACGTACATGCTCCTTCATGGCACAGGGGAGGGTGCAGGTGTTCAGGGAGCCTTCCATAAGAAAGGGGCTAGCTGACCTGAGGAGGGGAGGCAGCAGTGGGGCTGGCCAACGGAAGAGGAAACTAGGGATTTGGGAACCTGAAGACAAGCCACAGCCAGAGCAAAGAGAGGCAGGAGGGAGCCAGGCAGGACTACCTTGGGGCTCCCAGAAAGGGTTTAAGCAGGCTCTGGAAGTGAATGGGACTTGAGGAGAGCAGGGACTAGCTGGGATAGCCTGGAAGAGAAAAGGGGGGTAGTTGGTGCTTTGTCCACATGGAGAAGGTGACAGGGCACTGAAGTCAGATGTGGGAGATGGAGCGGAAACTACAGCTTGGTCACTCGGTGACAGTGGCTCTAGGGCCAGCCTTCTCTTTCCCGTGAGGGCAGTAGGTGGCCAGGTGTTGGCTCACTGGAAAGGAATGTATAGTCAGATGTTTTGAATCTGGGGTGCCTGAGATCTGGGAGTGTGTCATCGTGGAATGACTAGAAGAGCACATCTCCAGAGTTGTCCAGGGACCAGCTCTGAGGACAGTAGGGAAGCCATGGGGCAGCTGTAAGGATAGTAGGGAAGCCATGGGGCAGCTCTGAGGACAGTAGGGAAGCCATGGGGCAGCTCTGAGGACAGTAGGAAAGCCAGGGACCAGCTCTGAGGACAGTAGGGAAGCCAGGGACCAGCTCTGAGGACAGTAGGGAAGCCAGGGACCAGCTCTGAGGACAGTAGGGAAGCCAGGGACCAGCTCTGAGGACAGTAGGGAAGCCAGGGACCAGCTCTGAGGACAGTAGGAAAGCCATGGGAGTGTTTTGAGAAAGATCACATGGCCACTAGATCAGGTGAAGACAGACCGTTTTGTGGTGGTAGGGGTGGGGAGGTGATCAGTGGCCTCTCCAGTGACTGTCCCCTGGAGCAGGGGCTGGATGTAAGTAGAGCAGTGATCAGAACAGACAGCAAGATGTACAACCATGCTGTGAAAAGGACACTGTGAGCACTGATGCCCCTGGAATCAAAGCCACCGAAGAGGCAGCCAGCCTCCACTGTCACCATCACCACCAGTGCCTCCCTCCAGGAAGTACTTCCCTTTGACCACTTGTTGCTTCTCCTGCCAAGAGCATCCATCTATCCATCCTTCCCTCTCTTTAGCCTCCCTGGCTTCGTCCCTGACTCTCCCAGATCCAGGGCCTCCCTTTCTTCTGTGCACAGCCAGCGCTTGGGGGACACCTCTCAGCTCACAGTGCCCTGAGGCTCAAGTGACCCCCAAATCTCCAGACACTAGCGTAGATTCTGACATATTCTAAAGAGGTAGAGACAAAAGATAGTCGCTGAATTTAAAAAGAACAGCTGATCTGGCATCGATACCCTGAAGTTGGGGCTGGAGATATGGCTCAGCAGTTAAGAATGTGTTCCTGCAGAGGACCATGGTTCGGGTTCCAGAAACCACGTGATGACTCACAACTGTCCATAACTCCAGTTCCAGGAGATCTAACCACCACCTCTTTCTGACCTCCACAGACATGCATGTGTTTTACACAGATACACATGCAAGAAAAATACTCATAGAAATAAGTAAATTTGGAAAAAAAGAAAAACACTGAAGTCTCCCAAGGCTGCACACAGCCCTGTGATTCTCAATATGGAGGAGACAAAACCATGTCTGGAAATACTGTTTACTGTTTCAGCCTGGGCAAGGAAGATGCTACTTACTGGCTCTAGCAGGTGGATGCTGCTAAATATCCTACCATGAACAGGCCTAAAACAGCAAACTTGTCTGGCCCAATATTTCAATGATGCTAAGATTAAGAAACTCTAGTTTGTGGGTATGGGGGCATACACCCTTCATCCCAGCACTTGGGAGGCAGAGGCAGGTGGATCTCTGAGTTTGAAGTCAACCTGGTCTACACAGTGAGTTTCAGACCAGCCAGGGCTACATAGTGAGACCCTGTGTCTTGAAAATACAAAATAAATAACAAAGAAAGAAATTAGCCAGGTGGTGGTGGCACACCTTTAAGCCCAGCCCTCTGGAAGCAAAAGCAGGCAGATCTCTGGGTGTTCAAGACCAGCCTGGTCTACAGAACAAATTTCAGTACAGGCAGGGCTACACAGAGAAACCCTGTTTCAACCTCCTCCACAAAAAAAAAGGAAATTGTGTTACCCTGTCCTCTGGGGCTTCATGATACGGGATGAGGGTTCTTCTGCCTCCAACCCTGGGCACCAGGCCTCAGCAGACGATGGCATAGTAGTGATAGTGACATTTCTGACAGAATGAGACCATAAGGACATGTACTACTAAAACAACACTTTACCTGGACCACCTAATGGTCACACTTTCTCCAGCCACCACACACAGAAGCCTGGCTGTGTCACCCTCTGGCACTGTCATAGAAGGAGGCAGGCCTGTGATTGTTAGCTCCCCTAGACACAAGAAGACATTGTCAGTGGCTAGCAGACTCCTCCCCCACTCCATCCCACTCAGCACTTCCTTCCTTACCCAGAACTCGGAGCTGGACCCAGCGCTGGTCACGGTCCTGCCCATTAAAAGCAACACAAGTGTAGAAGCCACCGTCTTCCACAGCCACTCGGCTGATGACCAGAGAGCCATCAGGCTGCAGCTGGTGCCTGGGGACCAAACACAGCAAGTTGGCCTTGACCCATGTAGGGACTGGACTGAGCTGGGATCAAGAGAGGCAGGAGTGGGGAGGAGGGCTGAGCAGGGCCTCTGTTCAAAACTGTCGAACGAAAGAGCTGCTGGCCTCAGCCCCTCATATAGTGCAGCTGCCAACATTTTAATTTACAATACCTGGCTTTTAAACTCAATAACAAATCATTTCATGTTTTCTGATTTAAAAACTATTCGAGACCAGGTGTGGTGGCTCATGCCTGTAATCCCAGCACACAGGAACTGGAAGCAGGAGGATTGCTATGAGTTTGATGCCAACCTGGTATACATAGTGACTTCCAGACCAGCCTGAGTTACAGTGTGATGCCCACCCTATGTCAAAAAACAGAAAGGGGAAGCCGGGCGGTGGTGGCGCACACCTTTAATCCCAGCACTCGGGAGGCAGAGGCAGGCAGATCTCTTATGAGTTCGAGGCCAGCTTGTTCTACAGAGCTAGTTCCAGGACAACTAGGGCTACACAGAGAAACCCTGTCTCTAAAAAACCAAACAAAAAGGGCTGGAGAGATGGCTCAGAGGTTAAGAGCACTGATTGCTCTTCCAGAGGTCCTGAGTTCAATTCCCAGCAACCACATGGTCGTTCGCAACCATCCATTATGAGACCTGGTGCCCTCTTCTGGTGTGCAGATATACATGGAAGCAGAATGTTGTATACATAATAAATAAATAAAATCATTTAAAATTAAAAACAAAAACAAAAAGCCCAAAGGAAAAAACAAACAAACAAAAAGGGGGGGACTAGAGATACCCAGGTTGGTAAAGTGCTTGCCTTACAAGCATGAGGACTGAGTTTAACCCCAGAATCCACAGTTGGTGTGGGGGAGGGAGGGAGGGCGGGTATGGTAAGGCATGCTTATAATCCCAGCACTGGGGACACAGGATTCCTGGGCTTACTGGTCAGCCAGCCTAGAAACTTGGCAAGCTCCAGGCCAATGAGAGACCCTGTCTCAAAGAACAAGGTGGATGGTTCCTAAGAATAATGTCTAGCAGGGCGTTGGTAGGGCACGCCTTTAATCCTAGCACTTGCAGGTAGATCTCTGTGAGTTCAAGGCCAGCCTGGTCCACAGAGCGAGTTCCAGGACAGCCTCCAAAGCAATACAGAGAGACCCTGTCTCAAAAAAAAAAAAAAACAAAAACCCAAAACAAAATAATAATAAATAATAATAATGTCCAAAGTTGACTTCCAGCCTCTGTTCAGAGCACATGGACATGCAACACAATTTTAGATTCGATTTCTAGTTTGTTTTTTGAGACAGTCTCACCATGTGTACTGACTGTCCTAAAACTCAGAAGTTCACTAGCCTTATCTCCAGGGTGCTGGAATTAAAGACTTAGATTTCTAGTGTTCGCCATATGCAAAGTAGACTCCAACCCTGATTTGGTTACGAACTGTGTGATACTAAGCCCCTATATGTAAACCACAGACAAGACACACATACTTCAGTGTGGCTCCCTGCAGCTTAGACAATAGTGAACGGCCTCAGTACATGTCAGCAATGGGGATCATCCAGGGGCGTGCAGAATCTCCCCTGGGTGTCCTCTCATTTCCATCAGCCATACTTTGGAAATGTCTACAAGACCTGTGCTCCAATCCCATTTCTCCAAGCCTGAAGTCCTGCCCTGGCCTCCATAGGATGTGTGGTGGGAGATAGGTCTACAGGCGAGGGGCTGAATGAACCTGGGAGAAGAGACCAGCTGCCCATCTCTTTGCCACTCGATGGTGGGGGGCGGGAAGCCTTCAGCATGGCAGGTCAGCCGGATCCGCTGGCCAGGACTGGCATCCACCACCCCAGGCTGAGTCCGGTCCAAACGCAGCCTACAAAAAATGTGTGCATAGCTCAGGGGCCCTGGCTGCTACTTTTCCCCATAACACAGTCCTCTACGTTCAGGGTTAGGACACCAGCACTTGTTAAGAACTGGGGTGAAGGCCCAGGGGCTGGCCACCACCTTGACTGACCAAACACAGTGTCTCTGACTGCCTTCTCGTGCCCATCATATCTGCCACCAGACCCTGACAGGTGCCCCTTCTGCCCCCTAATCCCCCGAGATGGAACTACCACCCTCCTTGAGGCCAACTCAAGGAGCCTGGATTTTCTAATGGTCATCTCTGCAAGCCCAGGGCACTGGCTGGTGAAAACGCAACCATTACACATAGTTTCCCTTATCCCCTGTTGAGAGCAGCATCCCTGAAAGACCCTCAATATACTGTGACCCGTTCAGAGAGCATTAGGGCATGTATGCACATTGTGCTGTTACCTGCTGGCAGGCCTGGCATGTGGGGAAGAGATAACCCCTTGGCCCCCAGCTTCTGCTCCTATTCCAGAGTCCCGAGGACCATGGCCAGGGTCTGGGTGCCTGGTCTGAGGGAACGGCCTCGGCTGGGCCTCAGACAACACTGCCATGTCACCCCCTGTCATGAGGCCAAAAGCAGCAAATATAAGCTTTGAGGAGAAGGGACTGAAAGGCCACAAAGACTGGAGAAAAGAGGATAACGGGATGTTGTCCCTGCCCCAGGAAGAAGTAACCATGGAAGAACTTGGGCTTTTGTAGGTGGGTCAGCCCTGCCCAGGTCTGCCCTCTGGCCACTTTCCCTCAATCCTACTGTTTTGTGAGACCCTGGGAGATGAGGGTAGAGGGGATGGGACAGAAACCTGTGACTCGAAGCTGGATTTTCTGGGGCTCGTGGCCTGGCCTGTGGCTGCCACAGCTATAGTCGCCAGCATCTTCTGGCCTCAAGGGGCTGATGATGAGGGAGCCATCTGACTGTAGCTGGTACCTGATGGAGGGAGGAGGGACATATCTCTGGGCTCCTGAGTCCTCTGAAACTCATGCTATCAAAGAAGACCAAACAGTATTTCCAGACATGGTTCTGTCCCCTCCCTAGGAATGACAGAGGGGGCCTCCACAAGAGAGGACATTGCACATACGGGAGACGGAGGGTAGCTATTGCTCACCACGCTCTCAGAGCCTCTCACAGAGATGGGACTGTGGTTTTACACCCACCTGTCAGAGGAGATGGTCAGGCCATCTTTCTGCCACCCTGCCTGGAACTCCGGGGAGGTGTTGCCAAGGCAAAAGAGCTGTACCGCCTGCCCAATGGCTGCTTGGACCAGGGAGGGTTCCGAGCCTGCCAAGTTGATCCTGGAGAGGTGAGAGGTGGGTGTCTGCCTTCCAGCACAGGAGCAGACCACCAAGGAACTGTTTCTTGTAGCTAATTTGCAGGGCTAGAGTCCCATGGGTGACTCCAGCCTTCCCAACCCTGCCACACCCCCAGGCATTGCCCCTCAGGCATCAGAGCGTCAGAGCAAGGCAGGCAGCCTACCCATGGGAGGAGGGAGAGGCTGAGGAGGGCCACACATGTGGGGAACTGACCAAGAGGCTCAGCCCCTGAAGCATGTGCTTCAGTTTCTTAATTCTGTTTATTTCCCCAAGCCTCTTATTAATACAATGGAACAAGAGTGATAAAATAACAGTCCATGTCAAGAAACTGAGACTGGGATCTAGCAAGCTTTTCTATCTAGACACAGACTTCAGGATACAGTAGCTAGATCAGAGAGAAAATCTGGGAGCACATAACCTCAGCTAAGCCTACATTTCCAGAGCCTCGGCGTCCCTGTTTGTAGTGTGATGGTGACAGGGCTGTCTAGAGCTCAGCCCTGGCCTGGGCATCCATTGCCCTTACCTGAGAAGCAGGTCTCACCTGTAGGAGGAGCCATGTGTGGGCGGCACTGGTGGTCTAGCATCTCTACTCAGTCCATGGACTCTGGACCGGGGTTCCTGATCTCCAGGTCGTTTTCCATAGGCTGGGGGATGGGGTACCTCCTCCGGCCCTAGCTCTGGTTCTCTTCGCCAAGGGCTTCCCGGTGTGGGCAGTCTCGGGACTGTGGCTCTTGCCCTGTGCCAGTCAGGTTCCTGCTGGCCTCCAGGACCACTCTGGCCACCATCCATGTGGACACGATGGCCAGAGGCTCCTGCCTCAGGATGATGAGGCCCATGGTGTCCCCGGCAACTGTTCATGCACTCCTGCTCCGATGCAAAGTTATTGGCATTGCCATGGCAGCCACCATACCAAAAGCGATTACACCGGCCCACAGATGCCACAAAGTACCAGTGGGCAGCCCAGTCTCCACACGACCCAGGAGCACTGGGCAGCAGGCACCTCACAGGGTAGGCTGTGGATTGTGGATGGAACATGTCACCCAGGTGGCCAGTGGTAACACTGCCCTCTCCCCTCAGCCTTAAGGGGCATAACTGTCTTAGTTTATGGAGCATAGCACCACTCTTGCCAGGACCCCAACCTCCCCTAAGAGCCCAGGACACTCCCAGGGTCTGTCCTAGACTTGCTTAGGCTGGGTCACAACACCCTTCACCCATACCTAACTGGGGTCCCCAGGAAAGACCTTGAGCTAGTTCTCTCATGTCTCTTCCAGCCGGGCCTCTTGGTGTTCACACACAGACCAGCTGGAGTTTGACTTCACTGTGCTCTCCCCCCCTGAGGGGCTGTGAAAATGCCCAGCAGGAGACCCGCCCTTGTCCTCATACCTGGGACCATATACCAGCCTCTAGCTGGCTTGTCCTCACAGCCCTGCTGGCCAGCATGGATAGCCTGCTCCATCTCTCCACATTCCAAATGGCTATGGCTGCCTGTCCTGCTCGATACCCTTCTGCTGAGCCCCCAGCCTGCCAGACTTCCCATGCATATTCCCATGACAGACCCTGACCCTGGAGGCTCCACCCATCGGCCATCCTGCTCCAGCCCCCACATTGTCTCTAAACTCAGCTTCTACTCCCGACGACACACACCCCATCTCAGGCAGGGGCAAGCCCCATGGCACTGCCCACCTTGACTTCCTGCCCAGGCTTATTTTACTTGTGCCCTCCCCCCCCCCTTTCTGAGACAGAATCTTATTTATCTCAGGCCAGCATTGAACATGGTATGGAGCTGAAAATGACCTTGCTGTCTCAGGTACTGGGACTGCAGACCTGCACCACCATATCAGGGTTATGTGGCACTGAGGATGGAACCCAGGGCTTTGGGCATGCTAGGCAAACAGTCTACCCACTGAGCCACATCCACAGCCCTGGGAGCTCCATTTATAACCCTTCCCAGTCAAATGCAAATGTCTTAGGTGCAGGAGCGATCTATCAGAATCCTCTGGTCTGGTATCTGGTGCAAGCTCAGGTATTGGGAACATACAAGACAACGAGGTCTTTGGCTGTGGGTGGGGGATGAGGACCCAGTAAGACCCCAGAATCCACCCATTAGTAAGGATGAGAAGGGGGTACCCCTCTCACCATAACTGGGCTGGCCCACACAGCCTTCCCCCAGGGGACCAGCTGCAGAAGCCACATTGTCATAGCAACAGCCAAACTGGGAGCCACGACAGTCGCTGGGTTCGCTCTGATGGGCCTGGGGTAGGTGGATCTTGGGGACCTGGAGAGGAAGCAAGCGGTTGGGAAATTAGGAATAACTCTTATTTTCAGTGGGGAGCTTGGGCTGCCCAGAGGTAGAGAAAAAGGAAAGGACACAGCTATGAGTCAGTAGAGAATCCCACCCAGGCCCAGGAGAGGGGAGGAGATTGGAGGCCACCTCTTAGGCCTGCTCGATATAAGGATGGTCTAGGTTACCGGGTCTGTAGGGCGCTCCCTTTCCCAAGGCTGAAGCTGCAAAGATCCCAGTAGCACTGAGTTGTTCTCCTGCCACGGGAGCCACTTACCTTAGAAGCCACTGCCCTGGACCCTGGCCTGTTCCCAGTATTGTCACTGCCATGAGACCTGGGGCAGCCAGCCTGCCGGGGCCCCTCAGCTGCAGACACCCCATCAGGACAGCATCCGTACCTAGAGAGTACACAGCCACCCTCACTGCCCAGCCCTGGTCCTGCTCTCCCATGGGCCCTGGCGCCTAAGCTCCCAGGGTGGAAGAGGTTCTGAGGCCGCTTACTTAGGAGGCTGTCTGGGTAAAGCCTGTCCTGTGCAGGGCACACCATTCATTCTTCATGCCCCAGGCTCTGCTCACTCCCACTGCCAGCCAGCAGCTGCCAGGGAAGACATCAGTGAGCAAGCTGCAGCTGCAGCCACGACCGTGCACCTCCGCTTGACACATGGTGCACCTCCTGTCCCAAAACCAGAAAGGGCTGAATCTAAGCCTGCACAAACATCGGGCTTCCAGGAGCTCCCGAAAAATTCCAGTCCATCACTGATCTTCCACCAACCAGAGGTTTTGAAGCGAGGGTGAAGGGAGAGCAATCTCCCTCAACAGCTGCCATTGTTACCGGATGGCAGAAGAGGAAGCCATCAACGGAAAAGTCACTGACTTTGTCATCCAGCAAACAGCTGGAAGTCACTGGCCCTAAATCCCAGACCCTTAGCAGTGCAGTCCCTCAGGGGGCCCGTGCAAGGGAGGTCTCAGGAGAACTGTAGAGAAGGCATTTGGCAGAGTGGGGTGACTCAACCCCTCCCTACAAGACTGAAGGAGTGTGTTTTTGTAGAAGTCTTGAGATTCAGCCAGCTTCACACTGCACTCCTGATCTTAGCATGGACCGAGAGCTGAAATCACCTTTCGTGCCTGCGCCAGGCCTCAGGCTACCTCTCCATAGGCTGGGCACATTAGAAGCCCTTCAGGAGGAAGAGAGCCCCACCCACATACCCAAAAAACAGCACAGTCAGGGTGCCTCAGGAATTCTAGACTGGGCAAGCCAGCCCTGGTCAGGGATGCTGGCACTGGCCAATGTGGCCCAACCCCACCTTCCTTCTCTTGGCCTACTGAGGAAGAAGAGCTGCCCCAACCCACCTGCTCTGAAGACACAAGGCCCCAGCCGGGGGACAGCCTTGCCACTGCGGCCCAAGAGATGGTGTGTGGCCATCAGGGCAGCATCCATGGGGGTTGTATCTGCAGTCTCGGGGCCCTGAGCTAGGCCTCAGGGGTGCCCGATGTGGAGGATGTTGCAGAGTGGGGGCCCGGCCTGCAGCTGAGGCGTGGGGATCCTGGCTCTCCCTGGGGTTACTCTGGACCCTGGATAGCTCCTGGGCAGCCCATTGCTGGTCTCTAGCATCTGAATAGGAAGAAAACAAAATCACTGAGGCACCGACATGCTCCTCACGGTCATCCCAAGTCTACCTTCAAACCACCTTCTTCAGAGGTCTCCACTCCCTGTAGACCAAAACCAGGCCACCCGGCATCATAGATGATAGGGCCCTGAGGTAAGCATCCAGCTTCTCACCTGAGACTGGGGACACGTGAGGGCCTAAAGGCATCCTGGGGCCTGAAGGGTGGGTCCGTGAGTCCTGTATGCTGGGGACCTCTGTAGGAAACCAAGTAATGGGTATGGAGGGCAGAACCAGAGAAAAGCAACACCAGAGATGAAAATCAATATTCCAACCCCTGAAAACACAACCCAGAAGAGGCTTTGTGCCTGTGTTGGCCTTAAAGTCCTCCTGCCTCAGCCTTTCAGGTGCAGGGATTATCACAGGTATGTATCAACACACCTGGCTCAAATATTTCTTTCAGCTTTTCTACATGTCTGAATTTTTGTTTGTTTGTTTAGGTTTTTCCAGACAGGGTTTCTCTGTGTAACAGCCCTAAGTTGTCCTGGAACTAGCTCTATAGACCAGGCTGGCCTCGAACTCAGAGATCTGCATGTCTCTGCTTCCTGAGCACTGAGATTAAAGGCGTGTGCCACCAGCACCTGGTATGAATTTTTTAAAAGATTATTTATTATGGCATACAGTGTTCTGCCTGCATGTATGCCTATATGATAGAAGAGGGCACCAGATCTCATTATATAGATGGTTGTGAGCCACTATGTGGTTGCTGGGAATTGAACTCAGGACCTCTGCCAGTGCTCTTAAACCTAAGCTCCTTTTACTCTGGTCAAACTTAGAGGATCCTGTTAGACTGGGTGACTTGGGGGCCATGACAGCTGAGCTGACAGGATACTTGCCTAGCATGAACCAGGCCCTGGGTTTTCCCCCAAGAGAAAAAAATGGATTTTCCTGGCTCTGAGTAGTTAATAGTCTTAGTGAAATTGCCAGATCTTATTTTTAATCATAAAAAAAGTCAGAGAGGGCTGGAGAGTTGGCTCAGAGGTCAAGAGCACTGACTGCTCTTCCAGAGGTCCTGAGTTCAATTTCCAGCAACCACATGGTGGCTCACAACCATCTGTAATGAGATCTGGGGCCTTTTTCTGGCCTGCAAGCATACAGACAGACAGAATAGTATATACACAATAAAGAAATAAATCTTAAAAAATACTTTTAAAAAAATGTCAGAGAAATTAGATTATTTTTTTAATGAAGAAAAAAAGGAAACTAGCAGGGTACTCCCCTGAAACAGCGCTTCTTAGTGGGGATGAGGTCTTCCCTGCTCTTCCACAGTAAGTGCAGTGCTGAGGGCACAGTTAACGAGATGACTGAAGGACACTGCAGTGGGAGGCAGGCCCACAAAGTGTGCTCTGCAGGCGTGAGGGCTGGAGTCCCAGAACCCACAAAAAGTGATCTGAGAGTTCGAGGACAGCCAGGGCTACATGACTATACATAATAAATAAATCCCTCTTTTAGAAGGGATAATTAAAAATATAATTGTGGGGAGGCCGGAAAGCTCACTGGGCAGTTATTAGCATTAGCGGCTCTTCCAGCGGCCCCAGGGTTTCCAGTCCCAGAAGGCATGGTGGTTTATAACCATATGTAACTCCAGTTACAGGGGATCCAGTGCTTTCTTCTGGCCTCTGCGGGTACCGTGTTACACAAGATGTATAGATGTACATGAAAGCAAAATACCATACACATAAAATAAAATTTATGATTTTTTAAAAGACATCTCTAGGTCTGGTGTGATGGTGCACACCAGTAATCCCAGCCCTTGGGAGGTGGAGACAGGAGGTCAAAGTCATCGTTAGCTACATGAGTTTGAGGCCAGCCTAGGCTACATTACTCCTGTCTCAATAAACTAGTAATAACAATAATAATGCCCGTCCCCCTTTTCCAGTGCCCAGGGCATCGCACACACTAGGCGCCACCACCCTTTTTAGCTCATGGATTCCTGCCTCCTGCTCCCTGGGGTTCATGAATCTCATCTGTACTTCAGACTGTCCCCTGGGTGTGGGCCAAGTTTGCCTCTCAGCGCTCCCCCCGCCCCTGGGATCCCATATGCTCAGACAGGGTGCCCCGTGACAGCCACAGTCATCCTTGCTAACAGTCATCCTTGCTGCCCTTGTCCAGGAGAAAGGAACCACACTTGCCCAGGGCCACACTGTAGTCAGTGTGCTGGTGTCTGAACCAAGCCTGCAGCTCCCCTGAGACCCTGCCACACTCTTCCATTGGAGGAATCCTGTTGTCCCAGCATGGAGGTGCCCATATTTCGAAGTCCCCACAAACCAGCACACTTCAAGGAGAAACCTGTCCTCCCATCCTAGCTCAGCCACTCCCTGACTTTCCACAACCACACACCAAGCCCTTCCCTCTAGTCTGCATGCCTGAGAAGCCTTCTTCCCCAGAAGAATGGGGGCGAAGGGGTGTAGGGGAAGGCAGACAGGCAGAAGCAGTATGCCTTCTCTTTTCATTCATTTACTCAGCCATTCAACAGTTGGCTATAGGTACTAGGTACTGGGGTACAGGCCCAGAACTCAGTACACAGAGGGAGAGCAGAGAGAGGAACAGGAAGCCATAGACCAAGCCCTTGAGAAGCTAAGAGCTAGCAGATACAAGTATCCTTATGGGAGAGGGCTGGAGAGATGGCTCAGCAGTTAAGAGCACTGACTGTTCTTCTAGAGGTCCTGAGTTCGGTTCCCGGCAACTACATGGTGGCTCACAACCACCTTGAATGAGATCTAGTGCCCTCTGCTGGCATGCAGGCAGAAGAAGACTGTATACATAATAAACAAATAAAATCTTTAAAAAAAAAACAAGAAAGAAGAAGCCTTATAGGACCACCCAGAACAAGGAAACTAATGTAAAGATGACACACAAGACAAACACACTGGGTGAGTTTGAGGCTCATAGGGTTCTGTAGAGGAATTTGGCAACAGCAGAAGTGGCCAAAGGCGTGGGAAAGCAGCCAGGGAAAGGCCCCATGCAGCAGGGGCACACTAAACAGGCAGCCAGGGAGAAAGGGGGTACACCCTCCCTGCCCTGTCCTCACCCTGAGGAAGATGGCAAGGCTGTCTGCTGCAGGGTTCCACGTCAGCGGGCTTGGATGACTGCAGGTCCCCACAGTGACCAGGCGGCCCAATGGCACAGGTAACACGTCGCCTCCGAGTACCCACACCACAGCTTTTGGAGCACTGAGGGCCCAGGGTGAGAGTGGAGAGAAAGAGACCCTGAGCCAGAGACACCCTAAGGAAGTAGGGGGCTAGTGCTCTTCGCAGGTGTGTGCAGAGCCTTCCAGGACCCCAGGAACCAGGGCTGGACAGCAGGCATCAGGAGGGGACAGACTTACTAGACTCCAGGCCCCCACATGCCAGGCCTGGCCATGGAGCATGGGGCAAGCCTCTTGCACGCAGGGCTCAGTGGAGGCTGGCCGGTCCTTCAAGGAGCATGCTGTGGCATGGACCAGGGGCTCCTCAGCTCCCTGGCAGGTGACACTCCTCTTCCTGATGCCAGCTCCACAGGTAACAGAACACTGTAAGGACAGGCTATCAGCAAGAATGTCCCCCAGGGGTATCATGTCAGCTGGGACAGATGGAGCCCTACCAGCCTGGCTTAGAGGGCAGATGGTACTCTGCTGCCCTTATTTCACTCCTAAACCCAGAGAGGCTGAGTCACTGCTCTGAAGTCACACAGGCTGAAAGATCTTTCACACTCCTCACACTCCTTTATTATTTTTGTTTATGTGTATATGTATATCACTTGTATGTGTGGGGGTGTCTGTGAGACCAGAAGAGGGAGTCAGATCCCTGGAGCTGGAGTTATAGGCAGTTTTTTGTGAAAAAAAAAAAAAACTGATACAGGTGTCAGGAATCAAATTTAAGTCATTCTGGGAGAGCAGCAAGTGTTCTTAACCACTGAGCTGTCTCCATAGCCTCCATGCCCTGTATTTGCAGCTTGGGTGCAGGAGGCACCCTCACCCCCAAACACATCCAGCTCTGTCTTCTAGCTAAAACAAACTCTCTCCCATCCAGCCTTGGGATGCTAAAGACAGGAGAACCCTAGACCAGAGTCTAATCGTTGCATCTCATCCCAGCTTTGGCTACAACTTCCACCATGACCAGCTAGGTCTCCTTACCCTCTGAGGACCCAAGCTTCCTTCCACAGCAGAAGACAAGCCTTTCAAGGCCAGGCCTGCTGCTACCCAGGCCCAAGACACAGCTCCTAGTCTTAGGCAGGGCCTCACCTCTCCCCAGGGCTCCACGCTCCAGGCTGCACAGCGCTGCAGGTTACAAGCCTGTCTGGCAGGGGGCTTCCCAGGTAAACCAGCACACTGGGATTCTTCAGTAGCTTCCTGGCCACCAGCCCCATCTGAGGATATGCAGTAGACAGGACGAGACTGGAATCCACCCCCACAGGAGACTGAGCAGGGTGTCCACGGTCCTACCTTCCAACTGACAGAAAATGGAAACTGATAAGACTGGCACAAGAGGCTGCAGCTCCCCAATGCAGAGTGTGCTGAGGGCCCACCCCACTGCCCCTCAAGAACTTTGTGGAGAGACCACCAGCCAGGCCCTCCTAGGCATTCCCTATGGCTCACTGGCCCCTGAGGGGCCTTCATTGTATAATAGGCAGCCTGGCTGCTGCCTTTCAGCTCTGCTTTTCTCCTTCTCACTGGGTCCTGGCATCCCAGTCAGACCCCATCCCTTGCCATCCTGTGTGGAGGCATCTCCAGAAAGGCTCTGCCCCTTGTATGTGGAGAAGCCCTGCCTGGCTGGGGGTACATGGAACAAAGGAAAGGGAAGCCCCAAACACACCATGCAAAGCCAAGCCCACCACCGTCTCACCAGGCCAGGAGGGTGAGGATACCGACACCAGCCCTCCAGGAACCCCCTGGCCCACAGATTACCTGTTCCCACACACATGCTGGGCCCCAGAATGGTGCCACGCTCCCGGCCGGTGCAGGAAAGAGATCCTTTGTACACGAACAAAGGCATTTGCCAAAGTCTACTGGCCCTTTGACCTAATTCCTGTCTCAACCTCTAAGCATCTGTTTGAGCCCCCTGATGCCTCAATACAGGGACCTTCTGGCACTGTCCCCAATACTTCCTGCTCCCAGCCTAGGCAATCTTGATACCATGAGAACTGTCCTGGGCCTCGTGCTCAGGCCCATTCACTGCCACCCTCAGTGATAGTTGCCACCCTATGTGAAGATCCCTGCCCCCCAAATTCTTTGGCCTATGCCTAAAACAGTTTAGGGACTCCTCTCCATTCCCACCCAATTTTTTGGGCTCCGCCATAGGTGCAAGGGGCTGGCAAGGCCTCACCGCTTGGACTTTGGGCAAGGATGAGGATTGCAGGAACGTCGGTGTGCTGGCCGAGGCTGGTGTTGGCACATGTGGTCTGGGTAGGCCTCATTGTCAAAGGTGCAGAATACCAGGCGAGACTGGTGGCCTGTTGGGAGCAGAGCCACACGGATCTGGCTAGTGGACCGGTACTAATAAACTCGCTAGTCAGGCATTCTTCCAGACCTTCCCCACAGCTCACCCTAAGTCCCATGTGTCTTTCTGTGACAGGTGCCGCCATCATAACCAACTTACAGAAGAGTAAAGGGAGGCTCAAGGAGTCTTAGGTGTGAGTGACAGACCATGATCTTTATGCTTCAGGCCTGGCCTCCAACCACAGTGGGCATCTCATCCTAGGAGGTCTCCCTTATCCTAGAAAAGCTTGAAGCCCTTCATGGGGACAGCTAACTTTTTCAACACATGGAACTGTCCCTCCCTGGTAATGCTGCCTTGAGAACAGGACTATAACTTGCCAGCCCGTGTCATCTATTTGTCCTCCCCCAGACCCCAGTGCTCACCTCCCCCACACTCAGCGCTGCAGTCACTCCAGGAGCCATGGCTCCAGCTGAAGCCTTGGCTGGGGTCATTCAATGGCAGGTAGTACTCGTAGTGCACACCGGGGTTGGGCTCCTGGCTGATGAGCTGCAGAGAGTCTTGGCTTAAGTCCCCATGCCTGGCTCATGATAGCCTGGGCAGCCCACATGTACAGGGGCACGCCCCCTCCCCCTGCCCGCCGTGGCCCACTCACCTCGATGACCAGGGGCTCTGAGGTGGGGCCCCGTGCATGGAGCTGCTCAGGGGCTAGGTCCCCCTCCATACCCCGTTCGTACTGTAGGACCGTGCTGGCCACCGGCAGAGCCTGGGATGCCTCAATGGTCCAGTGCCCATTGAGATAGTACTCTCCACGGACGCTCTTCACGGCTGTGGAGACCCAGCCTGTCAGGGGATGTGGGGTAGCCAGTTGCCTCCCTGAGCCCCAGGCTGCCCAGCTCCAAACCATCTCTCACCCAGGAAATTCCTGCTAGCTGCAGCTTCTGCAATGCGAATACTGGTGGCCCCAGCAGGAATGATGAAGATTTGGTTGTAGCCTGAATGGGACAAGATTCCAGTGAGGAGCGTTGGTTTGGAACTGGTGGGACTTCTTGGGGAGAGTGCTTTTGGCGGAGGAACTAGCTTTACAGAGGTGGGGGTGGGGCTGGGAGTAAGCTCTAGACACTGGGACATCTTAGGAGGAAAAAGAAACAGCATGGGGAGGGATGAGAGCAGGCACCCAGTGTCCACAGTGTGAGATTAGACTGCACAAAAGGGGTTGAGGACCCCAACCAAGGTGAGCACAGGAGGAGAGTCATGTGAGAGGTATAGCCTCTGCCTTGCAGTCACATGACCCAAGTGCCAAGGGATCACTTGGCCTCAAGCCTTCCTTGGTCAGAGAAGGTGACAGGCAAACCAAGGCAGGCAACAGACCCCTTCAGAGTCCCCTGTGTGGCCCCCACCTCTGCTGAGATCGTTGGCATCAAAGGTTCCTGTGACAGGGTAGCAGGCTGAGCCGTCACCCCCACACTGCAGACACTTGTCCTCCTCCTTGGTGGAGTCTAACTTATGATCACAGCCAACAACCTGCAGGGAGGGGTAAGGAAATGAAGGCAAGATGAGAGAGAAGAGACATGGACATGGTTCCAATGTCCCAGGAAACACAGAAGGAAACAGAGTGACCGACATCCACTCATCTGTTCAGGCCCATACGACTCCTGCTAGCCACTCCCAGGCTCCCCTCTGGAGGCCATGTCTCTCCCAGTTTAGATGAAACTCCATAAACATGGGTTTGGGCATGCCAGAGGGGGGTTGTTCCCCTCCTCTCCTCAGAGAATGACTCAGGTGAACCCAGGCTAACGGGTCATAGAGCTGGGACTCCTGGGAGCCCACAGGCTGGTGTGGTATCGGCTTGGATACCATGTTGTTGCAGGCTCATGAGAAGAGCCTACATGAGCCTGAAGCCGACTCAGGGGAGAAGAAGGCAAGAAATGGAGAGAGGAATTTAGCATCTTTCCATCACCTATAGCCATCCCTTCACATTTGATTGGGTTTGGTTAAAGACAGCTTTAGCCATCTAGAGAATTTCTTTCATGAGGTTAGTGCTCTCAGGGGCAAAGTTGAGGTAGTCAGAGAACATCTGTAATGACTGCATTGCATTCTGGGAGCTAATGACTTATGAAGCCACCAAGCTCCTGACAGCCACTTGGTCGTGCTGGTGCTAGAAGACACCAGCCATAACAATCCCCAGCCAGCTTGGGGGGTGGGGGGAAGGAACGGGACAGGACTATAACTCACTCGGCAGATGCCATCCACACAGATGTCCCGCTTGCCAGGCTCGCAGAGTGTCCCGTCCACCACGGTCTCCCTGTGTTTATAGTAGAAGTTCTCCCCCTTGGGAATGCAGTTCAGTTCACACTTGTTTGGGGCTGGGTAGGCAAGAGGAAAAAGCTGACATCTTGACCCAAAAAGTGGTGGTTTGAACGAAAAATGTCCCCATAGGCTCATGTATTTGAGCACCTGGCCCCCAGTTGTCAGTGCTGCTCAGGGCTGTGAAACTTGGAGGTAGCATATCACTGGGGATGGGCTTCGAAAGCACAGAGCCTCTTCCCACTTCCAGTTTATTTTTGTGTGTGGTTGAAATACGATCAGCCTGATTCCCACTCCAGCCACCAGTCATTATGGACTCTCCCTCTGGAATCAGAAGCCCAAATAAACTCCTTTTACAAGCTACCTTTCACCACGTTTTTCGACAGCAACAAAAAAATAACTAATGCCAGAACATCTGTTGGGGGCAAAAAGGGACAGCACATGGTCCTCTAAGAACCCCCAAGGGACACGTGGACAACAGCCAGAAGTGCACTCTTGCCAGGAGAGAAGGCACAGAATCCCATCCCCCTCTCCCAGGGAGAAGGGACATTCTCTGGGAATTGATTTGTATCTTGGGGGACCAAGTCAAACAGCAACCTCTATAAACCTCCATTCTTTATTTTACTGCTTTGTTTTTGAGACAGGGTTTTTCTCTGTGTAGCCCCGGCCATCCTGGAACTTGCTCTGTAGACCAGGCTGACCTCAAACTCAGAGATCTGCCTACCTCTGCCTCCTGAGTGCTGGGATTAAAGGCATATACCACCACTGCCCAGAAATTTTGTTGCTTTATTTTAAGGTGAGGTCTCTACCCCAGGCCAGTCTTAAGGGATGGGCATGGTGGTGCACACCTTTGATCCCAGCAAGCAGTCTCTGAGTTGGAAGCCAGCCTGGTCTATGTAGTAAGTTCCAGGACAGCCAGAACTACAAATATATATATATATATATATATATATATATATATATATAAAACAGCTGGGCAGGTGAGTTTGAGCCCACCTTAGTCTACAAAGCAAGTTCCAGGACAGGCTGCAAAGCTACACAGAGAAACCCTGTCTTGAAATCCCTCCCAACAAAAGATTAACTATTTGTTTACATGTGTGCATACATGTACATATGAATGCAGGTGCCACAGAGGCCATAAGGGGGTTGGGGGCTTGGGATTCCCTGGAACAGGAGTTACAGGTGGTTGTGAGCCACCTAACATGGGTGCTGGGAACCAAACTCGGGTCCTCTGAAGAGCAAGCATTTAACTACTGACCCATCTTTCCACCCCCCCCATATCATCATCATCATCACTATTATTAGCCGGTGTGAGTGTGTGTGTGTGTGTGTGTGTGAGTGTGAGTGTGTGAGACTGTGTGTGTGTGAGTGTGTGAGAGTGTGTGTGTGTGTGTGTGAGAGAGTGTGTGTAAGTGTGTGTGAGAGAGAGTGTGTGAGTGTGTGTGGTGAGTGTGTGAGAGTGTGTGAGTGTGTGTGTGAGTGTGAGAGAATATGTGTGAGAGAGTGTGTGTGTGAGAGAGTTGTGTGAGTGTGTGTGTGAGAGTGTGTGTGTGTGTGTGTGTGTGAGTGTGTGTGAATGTGTGACAGTATGCCATGTGATGGTAGGTGGCCAGAAGAGGGACTGCCTGACATGGGTGATGGGAATCGAACTCTCTGGGAGAGTGGCCAGTGCTCTTAACTGCTGAGCCACCTCTCCAGTCCCATGTAAAAGTTATTTTTAACATATGCCTCAGGAGTATTGCATGCCAAAGGGCCCCGGGGGTTATTTCTCTGGCCATGATGACTCCAGGACCACGGGGGTGGGGGGTGGGGGGGAGCAATGTTTAGTGTTGGAAATCAGTGTGCAAGATCTCTGTGGATCATTTGCAGAGAAAAGCAATGCCCCGACTTTTCCCGAGGCTTGGTTCTTTTTTTTTTTTTTTAAGATTTATTTATTTATCATGTATACAGTTCGTGCCAGAAGAGGGCACCAGATCACATTACAGATGGTTGTGAGCCACCATGTGGTTGCTGAGAATTGAACTCAGGACCTCTGGAAGAGCAGCCGGTGCTCTTAACCATCTCTCCAGCCATCTCTCCAGCCCCTGAGGCTTGATTCTTTACCTTTATTTTTAGGCTGGGTATCACCAAGCAGACCAGGCTGGCTCCTGGAATTCAACATGTAGCCCAGGCTAGCCTTAAACTCCCGACACAAGCACTGAGATTGCAGGTATGCACCACCACACTACCTGTTTTGTTTTGTTTTTAAGGTGAGGTTCTGCTAGGGTCTTGTATGCGCTAGGCACACACTCTACCAAGGAGTCAAAACCCTAGCTCCTAAGACGTCATCTGGCTATTCCAAAATTATTTAGACTCATACACAGTGGTGTTCTTTTCCTGAACCTCATGCAGAACTCCCCATGCAGGTCTGAAAAGATGGACACAGTTGTCCCAAGCGCTTTCCTGCCTTTGGCACTGTTGGCCCCAAGCAGCACCACCCCTCCAGGGGGCCCCCTCATTCCACACCTCTGCAACAGTGGGGAAGCCTCAGAACTGAATAAGCCAGGTGGGAGACAGGCACAACGGAGCTTCGATTTTGAAAACGCGTATGGAGGAGAAAAGGCCAGAAAGAGCTTGCAACACGCCTGTTTTTGGGTTAACGTGGGCGCGCTAAGGACTAGGTCATTATCTAAGCAGCAAGGCATCTTTGAGGGGCGATAAGAACTTTCAGTGTGCTGCTTTGATGCATGACTCGGAATGGAGCTGCGCCCGCAGAGCCAGCGGAGCAGGGTGACGCGCTTACCCGCATAGTAGGGCAGCCACCGGTAGCGCCGGCCCTGGAAATCGGTGCCATCGAACTCTGCGCACTGCTCGGCCCGGAAGTCCCGCACGCCATCTGGGCAGTTCTGCGTGGGATCGTGGGTGCCAGCGTGGTTACTGGGGATTTGCCATTCTGCCCTATCCACTCTCAGTGTCCTGGAGCCCTGGGGTCCTGCGCCTCTGTCCCATCCTCCCACCCCGTCCCAAGTGCCTGGCGGGGCGGGGAGCAAACTGAGGGTGTAGCTTGGAGGTGGGGCGGTGGGGGGCGGTGAGGGGCGGCGCCCACTCAGGCTTTACCTCGGTGTGGCAGGTGCGGTGGCTGCGCGCAGGGCCCACGCAGTTGGCGCCTCCATCTCTCCTATGGGGCGAGAGCACTGAGGAGACTCCAACATCCCCACCCGTTCCTGGGCTCTCCTGGCCTCTCCACCTGGTGCCCTGATGGGTGAGGCTGGACCAGAGTCCAAGGCAAGGTGAGGAGGGGGTACACTCGGAACCAAATCCATTGGGTGGGTGTAACCAGACCATGTTTGCACTGTCTTAGGCTCACTGTCCCTGACCTGACTCCATAAGGCCCTTGAACTTTACATACTATAACCCCTACCTGTGAGTTCAATCTGCATAAATAAATACTCCATAAATAATCCAGGATGTTTGGAGTTTGGGTTTGTTTGTTTTGTTTTGTGAGACAAAGTCCCAGGTTGACTCTGTAGCTGAGGATGACCTTGAACTTCTTGACCATCCTGCCTCCACTTTCTTTCCTGTTTCTCAGGAAACAGTTCACAAACCCACCAGTAGGAGGCGCCTCATTACCATTCCTTCGTATCTGACCCTACACACCCACCCCAATCAGAGCCCATGGGAAAACAGTGCACCTAGTAAATTCTAAAGTCACTCGTCGGGGAAGGGTCCTCTCTGCTCGACAAAGAAGTCGAGGCAAAGGAAACACAGCAACTAGGAACTGCGGGCTGACGTTCATTGATGGGGATGCGACAGACATGCCTAACCTGATGGCACTGTCTGCCCAGACATGAACTGCTCTGTCCCAGTCATTAGAGTGCTCAGAGTGAGTAACAATTTACTCAGGTCCCCCGTGATGACTAAAGAAACTAATATGGAGCCAGGCATCCCTTAAGGACCGTTGACCTTTTGCCCTGGAATACCTGGGCATTCCAGTGGCCTGCAGGTGAAGTAAGAATAGGATAATGGGCGGTGAGGAATTAAACTGCCTGTCCTTCTGTAAAACCCCCTACGGTTATGGGAAAGGGGTGAGATGGTCTTTTTGTTAGTACACAGCGGAAAGTCAGAAACAACTGAGGGAAGTGCCCAGCTGTGGATTCCATGGATGGTTGTGGTGCGCACCTTCCTAAAACCTCTGGTGCGCACCTTCCTGACCGTCTACCTTAAAACCAAGTTCTAAGGCTGTCGCCCTTGTGCCGGCAGAAAGAAAAATTCATTTAATCTAAATTTGAATTGAGTCTAAGTCTCTGGTTTCTCCCAGTGGATTCAAACGCCACAACACATTAACTCTGCAAATGAAGCCCCATCCCACCCCACCCCCATGCGCCAGGCGCCACAGGCTTAGGGCAGAGGAAGTAGACATGGCTCAGCTCCTCTCGATCTAGGCTGAGTGTTGGAATCCGAGATGAGAACATGGGAAATACTTGTTTTCCTAAACGCACCATCACTCTTCCACAATGAATCTGTCACATAATGAATGGCCCTGACGACAGCCTCCCAACCAGCAGCCAACCAGCCCTCACTTGCCCTCTTTTAAGCTGTTGGCAGGCCATAGACCTCCCGTCCCTACCTCTGGGAGTAGCAGGGGCGCTCCCGGAAACTTATGCCTCCTCCACAGGTCCGGCTGCAGGGGCTCCACTCGCCCCAGGCGCCCCAGGTGTCACTCTGGCGCCTCACATTTTGAGCCTGTAAAAGACATGCTCTGGCTGTGACTCACCATCAACCCCCCTACACACACACACACACACACACACACACACACACACACACACACACACACACACACACACACACACACGGGACTTGAACCCGGAGCTCTCCCTGCAGAGATGCTCTCCAGCCTGTTCAAAGAGTCTGGGGGCTTCCAGTACTGCCTTTTTAGGACACAGAAGTACCACCGGATACTCCAAAATGTTCATTGCAACTTAACCTTCGTCTTAAGGAGTGGGAGAGCCAGCCTAGGTGTGACTGAGCTGGGAAGAGCCTGCAGTTCCAGGGGCCTTGGGGGAGGGGCCTTGCAGCCAGTGCAGGCATTTGTGGGTTGATTACAATGTGGTAGAAGGGACCCTGAAGAAAAACGGGAAGGAACCTAGGACAAGGGTACCTCCATGCATTGCACTGGGCACTACTCAGCTGTGGTCTACTCATCTAGCATGGTAGTCGTGTGTTCTGGGCGTCTGCCAGAACACATGAGGTGGGGAGGGCGTGGTGGGGAGGAGAGGGTGTGGCCAGGAAGAGGCTATCTCCCCTGACTACACTATGCTGTGACAAGTGCAGAGCTTGGCTTGGTGTCCCTTGGAATGGAGCCTATGGATCAGCAGGCCCATCCTTTTCAAAAGAGATCTCTAAGGGATGGGACAGATCATGGCAAGTCTTCAGGTAGGTGGACCTTGGTCTGTTCAGAGAGTATAACCAAGACAGGATGGAACTTATGTGGGCTTCCCTGGAGAAAAGCCACTCCAAGTCTAGTTGTGTCTCTTCTTCTCTGGATGCGAGCTCACTTCCAGAAACTTCTATTGTTTCGACCTATTAAACTAGAACTTAGGGTAGGTTAGGGTGGGACTATAATATCCGGGTTCATCAGAGGCAAAGACTCCTAAGGGTCCCCTGGCCCCTATCAAAGAACCTGAAAGCTTGATTTCTTGTTCAGTGCCTAGTTTCCTGTAGCTTACTGGCCCCATCCCTAAGTTCTTATCCATGGCACATAAAACACAAGTGTTGGGCAGTAGTCTCTAGTACTCTGTGGAGAGATAGTGTGAATGGGCGTTTGTCTTCCTCTTCCTCGTCACTCCTTTCTTTTGGAAAACATGATGTAATGGCTAGAGCAGGAACAGCCGTTTAGACTGGGAAGTGAGTTGGAATATAGGCCTCAAGCTATATTCCTCATATATATTATATATATATGAGGACTTTGTGAAATGAAAACAGCCCTGAACTTCTGATCCTTGAGTGCTTACATGAGAGGTAGAAGAGTTAGACCTAATCTGCCTTGATGAAATTACACAATGGGCTATTCGGTGGTGGCGCACGCCTTTAATCCCAGCATAGGCAGAGGCAATCTGATCTCTGAGTTTGAGGCCAGCCTGGTCTACAGACCAGGACAGGCTCCAAAGTTACACAGAGAAACCCTGTCTCAACAAACAAACAAAAGAAATTACACAATGGAAATTCACTATGGATGTGACACCTTGCAACCAGCATCCTATGGCCTCATGGTACACATATTCTGTCATCTAACCCTCATAGCCTAAAAGTCCCAAGGAACAAGCCAGAAAGGGCATGGCACCATATACTATAGAACTCAGCACTCATCCTCAGGTTGTGTCCCCACCTGCCTGGGGGAGCAGGCAGCCAAATGAGACACTGGATCCTAAGGAGCTGGACAAGGGTACAGAGAGGCACTGTAAACATGTCCCATGTGCTGAAAGGGCACTTTATTTTGAGGTGTCACCACAGGAACCTTTAGGAAATTTAACTCCCATTATTTAGAAAGAGGTCAAGTGTGAACAAAGAAAAACAAGCCCTTCCCCAACTTGGAGCCTCACAGCTAGCCATTCCGAGGTGAGCAGGGAAGTCTGCAGATGTCTAACACCAAATACCTATTACCCTTGTTTTTATAGACCACGATTCAGAAGCAGAGCAAACCGCATCAAACTTGCTAACCACACACAGAGCCAAGCACAGGCCAGCCAGACCAAAGGTCTTGCCTCTCATTGTAAATCATCCACTCCTCCAGTTCTAGCTAGAACAGAACCTCCAGGCTTTCCAAACCACCAAACCAAATGCTCAGGTATTCTGGCAACAAAATGTAAACTGGTTTTATTCGGCTTGAGTTTCTGTTTTGAAGGGGAGAGCTACTTACTGTGTAGTAGGTGTTGTGGTAACTTTCCAGGCAGGGATTCTGGCCTGGCATGTGACCCGCAAGCCTTGCTGCCATGTGGTAAATACTAGGATGTGGTCCCTGTGGGTCTGTTGCCCTCACTTGCCTGTCTAGTGTTGACCCTGCCCAGGGTCTGGTTTGGATACTTGTCTAGGCCCCTTGGTGCAACAGTCCCCAGAAATCCAGCTCTTCTGGAGGCAAAGTGGAGACAACTCATGTGTCCACAGAGTCGGGGATGCTCTGGCCAAGGAGGCATTCTAGGATGGCTGAACTAGGGCCACACTCCTGCTAGGTGCCTTTACAGACATTTCTTTCTTCCCCAGACCAGCACCTGTAGGAAAAGGTCTCCTACTGGTGCAGGGGTAAACCCTGGTCTGTACGATACTGAACCACACTCCCTGAACCTTTCCACACACATATCAGGTCATGAGCAGTGTGAGCACATTTTGTTCTTTGTAATTATCTAAACTCCAAGCTGTGTGGTGGTACAAAGCCAGGAGCTGGTGTGGCCCAGCCCCATCCTGGGCCTGTTACCGCCTGCCTCAAGCTGCTTCTCTCAGCTCCCCACCCTCCTGCCTCCAGCTCCAACTCCAGGCTCAGGAGTCCCCTTTCCTGCCTGCTGTGCACCAGGACGTGTGGGAAGAAGAATGAGACATTGGCCAGGCAGAGGGACTCACAGAGCGCCTTTAACTATTCATCTGGTCATTCTGTCTAGTCAGCCCTGATAGGAACCCTGGGGTGGTCAGGACCCATGGTGGATCCTGCCACAGCAGAGGGAGCTGAGCTGGGAGTCTGGACCATACCTCTCCACCACACAGAGGTCAGGGAAAGACCTCAACCTCATCTTGGCCTTTCACACTGGAGGCAGATGGCCACTCAGCCACACCACGGAAGAAGGGACCTTATAGGATCCAGCGTACTTTGTAATCACTGATTCATCTGTAAGACAATCTGTGGTGTGGTGTGGACATTAGATTCGTGGGATTTGGGTGGTCAGTGTATGGCTTGGGGAATGGGTTGGAGTCAAGCAGCTATTGTGTATGGAGTGGCTCTAGGGCTCTGGGATTTCACCCTGGGGTTTTGATGTAGTCATGGAGACCCCCAGGGGGAGGGGCTTCACCTGCACAGCAGCTAAGTCACCAGCACGAGCCAGAACCCCAGTGAGGTTCTGTAGAGGGCTATAGGCTGGCGCAGGTGGCGTGTGGAAAGGGAATGAGGGAGAGGCTTCGGTCCACCAACTGCCTGGCATGCCTATGTGTTAAACAATGAGCTTTTGGGGGGCTGGCTAGTGTCTACCACTGACACCCATCCTGCCCGCCTTCCTCACTCTCCGCCCATATTACCACAAAGGCGGCACTGCCCCCTTCCCTTCCCAAGGCAGCCATCCTAGCCCTCTGAGTCTTTCTCATTTGGGCCTTCTTGGGGGATGGGCAGGGCTGTGGTCTCCCTGGTGCAGAGATTTCAGGGTAGAATGGGAGTCTCTGTGCTCTCTGTTCTGCCCAACACCCAGCTCTGCAGGTCCTCTGCCCCCAAGGGTCCCCGTCTATCCTTAGGACTCCAGTCTCTTGAGCTTCCTCATTCAACAGCAACATGATCACCCCTCGGCTTCCAGAACCCACACTCTACATTTGCACTAACCTGATAGCCACAACCACCTGTAGCTCAAATTAAGCTCAGATCAGCATGAAAAGCCCCTGTGTTGTGCTAGCCACATTTCAAATGTGTAATAGACACATGGACCTTGCAGTGGCCCACTGAACTTCAGAGAGAGAGAGAGAGAGGGAACATCCCAGCCTTCAGGCAGGATCATAGTGGGCTGGTCCCAGCGGCATACCTACGGGTCTTTTCTCTTTTAAAGGGAGGAGCCGCAGTAAGTGTTTGTGGTGTCAGCCAGGCCCAGGACTGTACCGATTCCTGCAGACTGCCCCTTTAAGAAACTAAGCACCCCAGCCAGATGTCCATGGTGCCCTGGTTTGTGAAGGAGCTGGAGCACTGCAAGCTCAACTCTCCTATATCTAGTCTTCCCCAGACCCTGCCCTACCTATCTCTTACCCCTCCCCCACGGCTCCCAAAGGAGCTTCCCAGGGCCCCATGGGGCCCCGCACTCACCCAAGACCCTGGAGTGGAGACCAGCAACAGGAGAATGAACAGCTGCATCTCTGCCTGCAGGAGAAGTCACGGGTTAGAGCCAGAGGGGCCACCACAGCTGCCCAAAGTGGTGACTCCTGCTATGTGGGTGGGATGTTCCTCCCACGGAGACCCGGTCTGCTGGGAGCACCACGGTGACAACATGTCACGCAACTTACACACAAGGGAGAGGAGGCTTGGTTGGCAGCAGGCAGAAACACAGGAACAACTTGTTTTGTTATTCCAGAGGAGTAAGAATGGTTAAAAAATATTGCTGTGTTGTTGATCTAAGTGAGATGGGAATCAAAGTAACCAGACCGTTAAACTCAGTAAGAAATTAAAAGGCCATTTCATCCCGTTTAAAAACAACTAATAAAAATAGATTTGCTGTCAGTTTTCATCACCCAAAATAAGGGTGTGTGCAGGAGTGTGAAGATCAGAGGTTGATCCTGGGTGTCTTCCTCAGCTGCTCTCCACTATATGTTTTGAGACGGTGTCTCTCTCTGAACTCCAGCTCAGCTTTTTCTGCTAGGCTGACTGGCCAATGGGCTTGAGGGATCCGCCTCCCCTGCCCTCCCCCCAGGCTGAGGGTTACAGAGCATGCTTTACCCAAGTCGTAGGGATCTGGATTCAGGTCTGCCGGCTTGCACAGCAAGCACTTCACTGACAAGGCCATCTTCCCAGCCTCACCAGAAAATATGTTCCCGGAAAACTGTGTCTGAGGGTAGCTTAAAAATTCAATTGCAGGGCTGCAGACATGGCTCAGCAGTTCAGAGCACTGGCTATTCTTCCAGAGGACTCTGGTTCAATTCCCAGCATCCACAGGGCAGCTCACAACCATCCATAACTCCAGTTCCAGAGGATTCAACACCCTCACACAAACATACATGCAGACAAAACACCAACGCTCATTAAAAAAAAAAAATTCAATTGCAGCCTGACGGTGGTCTACAGAGCTAGCTCTACATAGAACCAATCAAAAAATAAATAATTGCTTATCCAGGTGTGGTATAGGGTGGGTACCTTGTAGTCCTAGCCACTGGGAGGCTGAGGCAAGAAAGAATACTACTAGAGCCCAGGACTTCAAGGCCAGTCTAGGCAAAAAAGCCCACTCCAAATTCAACTGCTTTGGGGACACAGATCATGCTTAACTATGCTGAGACCCTTATTTGGATCCCCAGCACCCACCATGTTCCGTCTCCCCCCTTTCCCTCCCGCCTCTCCTCCTATTCCCCCTCCCTACATACACAGTTTTCCATTTTAAACCTAAGCCAACCTAGGAAAGCTTCCTTCACAGTCTTGGTAACAAGTGTGTGCACGCCCCCCCCCCAACCCAGAGTTGTGTGCAGGGTGTGCGCACACATGTGCGTTCATGGTAGTGGTATGCGCACATGTGCGCAGTGCTGGGTGTGCTTACGTGTGTGCACATGCCTCTGTAGGAAATGCGTAAGCAGTGTGCAGTTCGGTACAGAACATTAAACAGGCGCTGACAGGTATGTTTAATATTAAAATCTGTAATTCTACCGATGTTCTGAGTTCTTTTGGAAAAAACGACTTGCGGTCAAGTTTATGTAGATGAAGTACAGCATACAAAAGCCCCACGTTCAGTGAAGTTTACCCGGGTACATGGATGGAAGGAAACCCCGGGCTAATTTGGCACAAACAGCAAGTCGTTCAGTCATTCTTATCAGCAGATTCCTAGGTTTGGCAACACCTCCCGAGGGACCAGGGGTTGTGGGCGCAGCCGCGATCAAGGGCTGGTGAGTGGGCGGGGAGGTGGGTGAGCTTCACCAGAGGGAGACTGAAGAACGAACGGACTAAGGAGTTCCACTCACTGCAGACACTGCCCAGGCCTGCGACCCTGATTCCAAAGTCCCGAGAGCTTGACAATTTTCCTTCTCGCAAATCAAAGCCACCCTAGAGTCCAGCAGGACGACTCTCCAAAGGTCCGTCCCTGGCCCCGGGTAGTGCCGCGTGACCCCAGAGGCACTGAGGGTTCCCTGGGAGCCCCGGGAGCCTGGCTGTGGCTGGGCTCTCCACCGCATGTACCCAGCAGGGGCGCTGGGTCTGCAGCCTTCACCCAGACTGCGCCCCGGAGGGGGTGGGGTGGGGAGTAATGCTGTTCTAGGAGATGAGCAGTCGGACAGCAGGGGACCTGACCCCTCCTCGGAGCCCGCCTAGGCCACCGCACAGCTGGAGACCGGGTCTGCTCCCGTGGGCCTCTCACTTCCACACCACCGCGACCAACCCGAGCCAGAGAGGCAGATGCCCGGGGCGTGCCCTGCCCAAGGCGCCCGCTTGCCTTCCTACCTGTCTCGAGGAGCCCGGGAGCTGCCCCGTCGGTGCCCAGACTGGGTCAACCTTTCCAGGACCGACAAAAGCCATGGGAGGTTGGACTTTCTCTTCCCGCTGCTGGCTGGTTTCCTCCCCGCCCTATCTTCCCCCACCCAGTCTGCTGACACCCACCTCCAATCCCTGAAGGAGCACAGTGCCCCCACCGAGAGGCCCCGGGTACCCAGGATTGCCCCGTGTTTCCTCTTTTTGGGTTCCTGCCAAGGCTTTGCTTATTCTCAACTCTATGGGCTCCGGGTCTTGGGTCTGTGCCAGTCACCTTTTCAGCCCCACTTCCCCTAGCCCAAGCCCTCCAGATCTTTGTCAAAACCCCTCCTCACTACACCTACCCCACACTGACACACCTGCGTGTCCAGCCACCTTCTGAATTCTATACTTCGGCTACAGTTTTTTTTTTTTTTTTTTTTTTTTTTTTTTAACTCACGCACAGCTTTCCCCATCACTTTGAATTTACACCGCCCCGACCCCCAAACTTCTCCATCCCTTAAAACTGTGTGCTGGACATGGTGGCCTTTTAATTCCAGCACTTGGGAGGCAGAGGCAGGTGGCTCTCTGAGTTTGAGGCCAGCCTGGTCTACAGAGCTGCTCTACAGGCTCCAAAGTTACACAGGGAAACCCTATCCTTTATTTGAAGAAGGAGGAGGAGGAAGAGGAGGAGGAGGAGAAGAAGAAACAAAAACACCTCTTTACATACCACTTTTAGAGGCCTCCCTACCCACTTTCCATCACTGATCCCAGCTGCTATGGGTTTGGTTTGTGTGTGGGGTGTGTGTGTGTGTGGGGGGGGTGTGTTTGAGGTTTTTGTTTGGGGTTTTGTTGTTGTTATTGTTTTTTGGCTTTTTTTTTTTTTTGTGGTTTTTCCAGACAGGGTTTCTCTGTGGCTTTGGAGGCTGTCCTGGAACTAGCTCTTGTAGACTAGGCTGGTCTCAAACTCACAGAGATCCGCCTGCCTCTGCCTCCCGAGTGCTGGGATTAAAGGCGTGCGCCACCACTGCCCGGCTTGTTTTTTGGCTTTTTTGTTTTGGTTTTTCAAGACAGGGTTTCACTGTGTAGCCCTGGCTGTCCTGGAACTTGCTCGGTAGAACAGGCTGGCCTTGAACTCAGAGATCCGCCTGCCTCTGCCTCCCGAGTGCTGGGATTAAAGGCGTGCGCCACCACTGCCCGGCTTGTTTTTTGGCTTTTTTGTTTTGGTTTTTCAAGACAGGGTTTCACTGTGTAGCCCTGGCTGTCCTGGAACTTGCTCGGTAGAACAGGCTGGCCTTGAACTCAGAGATCCGCCTGCCTCTGCCTTCTGAGTGCTGGATTAAAGGTGTGTGCCACCATCAGGCTGCTGTTGCAGTTCTAATGAAGAATCAGAGTAAAAATCTGTCACCTGGAATTAGCTGTGAATTGGGCTGGTAAGGCCAGCATATCCACTGTGGCTGCTGCCCTGGACACTAGGTAGCGTTGAGGTAGAGGTTTTACCAAATCCACTTGTGGTGAATTTAATTTCCTGCCTGCTTTTCTACTCCCTCTACCCGCTCCCCCAAAAATCAAGATATTCCTTTGCTAACCATTCCTTTTCTGAAAGCCTAAAGAGTATACTCACCCCTAGAAAAATGCCCTGGCTCCGGGCCTGTGGAGGGCACAGAAGCAGGGGTCTCTTGCTAACCCTGACACGGTCACTTCACTAGGCTCAGACAGAGAGCAATTTGCAACAGGGATCTCCATCTTATTCAGGACTGGGCTGTGTTCAGACTGGACTGAGTAAAGCGTGAAGCTCTACACACACACATACATACACACATACACACACACACACACACACACACACACACACACATATATAAATATATACACAAACATACACACACACCCCAGTGCAGGAGAGGTTTCAGGGCCCCAGGAAGCATGGCAGCAAAGACAGATCACTTAGACCCTCCCTAGAAAAGGAAAATGTTTCTTCATTTTAAAATCCCCACCACTCCCCTGCCCCCATCAGCAGGACCTTTCTGAACTTAGTCAAAAGTCCTTGTGATATGGGAGGGAAATGCTCCTCTTCCTGAGGGCAGGAGCAGCTGAGGAGCAACCTGCCTCTGGTTTGTTTTTCTTCAGATGCCTGGACTTAGTTCTTTTGTTTTGCTTGTTTTAAGGCAGGATCTCATGGAGTCCAGGCTGGCCAACCTGTAGCCAGAAGCCTATACAGAGGACATGGAGGGTGCTGCTTACTGGCTTGCTCAGTCTGCTATTTTATAGAACCAAGGACCACCAACCCAAGAGTGGAGCCACACAAAATAAGCTGCCTCCGCCCATCGATCACTAAGAAAATTACAGTATGTTTCCTACTTTGAGCTGAGCACAATGGCACCTTTAATCACAGCACCTGGGAGTCAGAGGCAGGTGGATCTGAGTTCTAGGCCAGCCTGGTCTACAGAGAGAGTTCCAGAACAGCCAGAACTACAGGGAGAAACCCTGTCTCGAAAAAATAAAAATAAAATGACCTATAGGCTTGCCCACAGCCTAATCTTATGGAGATATTTTCTCAGTAGAGGTTTCCTCCTCTCTGATGATTCTAGCTTGTGTCAACTTAACATTAAACTGTCCAGCACACCCCTACAGAACATTTATTTTTCACTAAGACTTTGCCATAGGATGTAAATAACCTTGTCACCACACCCACCCCCCATAAAGGGTTAGTGCACTCACTGCTAAAAAGCAGATACGAACAGTTTCAAGGACTGGAACCAACCTTAAATGGAAAAAAAAAAAAAGCTTCCTCTCTGAATTATCATAAAAATGTTTAAGTAAAAAAAGAAAGAAAAGGAGCAAAGGGGCAATGGTGGTTTCAGAATGAAAAGATCATTCAGGTTTCATGTCATACATTCAATCTTGGTGCTAGTAACAAAATGGAAACAGGATTACTATCATACAAAATGTTCACTACAGCACGCTGTATGCACCTGTTTCAAGTCCATCCCCAGCCCCTAAAGCTTCCAACTCAATTACTTCCCAGACTGTTGACAAAGGAGCACGAAGATCTCTTTGATCCAGTCCGAGTAAAGACAGCTGAGACCCGCCAGGTCGTCAATAAAATCAAATGACCTAGTGAAACTCTGTGTGTGTGTGTGTGTGTGTGTGTGTGTGTGTGTGTGTGTTGGAGGGGCTG